GTGGTTTATCTTGGTTGATAACATTCTATAGAAGTGATTTTACCAGAACAGCAAGATAATAAGGTTTCGAAGATAAGGTGGTTTATCTTGGTTGGAGTGGAAGTGCCTTGGCTGCATCAATTTCATAGGAGAATAGCATGTTATGAAGAATAAGACAAACGCTGGTGGTTCTGAATAACTTCATGGGCTCAACAGGGTCTAGGAACTTAAACCCTATGAGTGGGCTGATACAGAGGGATTAGTCTTAAAGCCAATGGTAGGGGAAGCGTCAATGTCCACTTTCAACCATGAATTTGGCTGAAAATAGGGAAGTGGAAACTCTAAAAATTGAGAATTGGAAAATAAAGGACACTCTACCTTTCTTCCCTTTGCCTTAGGTTGTATCTCCTTTTTTGATATATGAAATCCTTGTTTATCATCCAAAAATGTTATTCTATTCAAATGTTTGGGTGACTAAGAAACTCACTACGGTTGAAACCTTTTCTTTATATAAAAAGGATTCTATGACATAGAATTTACAAGAAAAGTAGAATGAGATATCCTAAAAAAACAAGAACAGTCATTTGAAATCAACATGTAATCCTTTAAAATAACCGAAAAAGGAATATCATCATCGAAGCATACATTTTCTTATGGTTGCATCAAATTTTGAGGATGTTGCCATGTGTGTCAAGTGGAGATTTCTTTTCTTTTATCTTTGCACGGCTATATTGTGCATATCTACTACTTAACTTGTGACTATTGGGGTGGATTTACCCCAATGCATTAAAGACATGGTGTATTCAAGTTGAATAAATTTTGTTGTAGCTCAAACTGCAGACTTGTATAGTTACAATTTCCATGTGCATGGACTTGGTCGTTTGAAATTTTTTTTCTCAAACCAGACAATCTTCCGGAATCCAAGGGATATCAGATCATACTCTGTTCCCTCCTCGGAACGCTGCAATCTACCTGCAGCTGCAATTCATGCAACTTCAGATACTGTTGTTATTGTTGACATAAATGCGCCTGCAGCACATGTAGCACAGCACAAGTGGCAACCCAACACACCTGATGGCCAGGGCACACCATTCCTCTTTCAACATGGAAAGGCCTCTTTGACATCCGCCAGTGGAACATTCATGCGCATGTTCAAAGGGCAGGCTGGCTCCGTTGCTGACGAGTGGCAATTTCCCCAGGYACCAGCATTTGCTGCTTCTGGAATCAGGAGCTCATCTATTGTTTCCATTACTTGGGACAAAGACGTTATTACGGGTAAGCATTTATTTAATTATCTATCTGTCTTACCTTATTTCTTTAATTTCTCCCCTATTGGAAATCTTAAGATGATGAGGAAAAGCTCTACAATGATAAAAGGTCAGGTTAACTTTCGAGTGTTTTCATGTTCAATTATCTCTTCCCGAGAGATCGTAGAGCTTAGGTGAAAAATAAATCATTCAGTATCTACTTCAACTGCTGTGAAAACATCTGCTGTTTGATCTCTACTTCTTTAGCTAACTCAAAAAACCATTACTTTTTGAGTTCTGAGATGAAGGATGATGAATGAATAACAATTAACAGCTGGAAACTGTATCATGGTATCCATAAATAACTTCTACTGTTCCACTGTTTTTAAAATAAATCACGATTTCTTCATCTTAATAGCCATATAGATTTCATGTGTTGTGTCAAATAAGTATCGAACTAGATGATACTGGTGGTAGCTTAATTATTGGGGACACTGACATATCCGACTAGTTGCAGTTTTATTCTGGTCTTTGTATTCTCTGAAAGATTATCTAGCTCCTATTTTTTGGTTTGGAAATAGGTGGACATATTGACAATAGTATCAAGCTAGTATCATCAGATGGAGGGAAAACGTTGGAAACTGCCTACGGGCACTGTGCTCCGGTTACTTGTCTGAGTGTTTCTCAAGATAGCAATTTTCTAGTCACCGGATCCCGTGACACCACTTTGCTTCTTTGGAGAATACATAAATTGTCAACCGCTCGTTCGAGTGGCGTGTCAGAGAATGCCATGGGTACAGGCATGTCAACATCAGGAAGTGGTAGTAATTTATCTACTACATTGGCAGACAAAAGCCGGAAGCATCGAATTGAGGGTCCCATACATGTTCTTCGGGGTCACCACAGGGAAATTGTTTGCTGCTGTGTGAACTCAGACCTTGGTATTGTTGTTTCATGCTCCCATTTGTCAGATGTTTTGATACATTCCATCAGAAGGGGTCGCTTGATCAGAAGGTTGGTTGGTGTTGAGGCCCATGCTGTACGTGTTTCTTCCGAGGGAGTTATATTGACTTGGAACGAATCACAACATACTCTTTCAACCTTTACTCTCAATGGAAATCTTATTGCTAGAACACCACTTTCATTCTCTATCGGCATCGGTTGTATGGAAATATCTGTCGATGGGCAGACTGCCTTAATTGGAATAAATTCTTTGAGGGAAACCAATAAAACCAGAAATAATAGCTGGGATTTTAAGTCTAAGAAGCCGGTGAATGAAGATTGTGATCTCACACCTGATGAAATCCAGGAAGACGACAGATTGGATGTTCCAGTTCCTTCTGTTTGCTTTTTGGATCTGCACACTTTGAAGGTATTATATCAACTAGTAGCTTTACCTAATTTCTTTCCTTCTTAAATTGAACAAATAATATGATAGAGCTTATTATCTCCATCCTTTTTTCTTTAAAGGGGAATATAGATGACAAATAATATGACTGTTAATAAGGTACCTTGACTACTCTTGAATGATTCGGTACATGTGCCCTGTATTAAGAAGATGATATTGAAATTTTTCTATATCCTTGTGCTTATCCTTCCCTTCTGTTTATATTGTTTGCTATTTTGTGTCTAGTATAACAAAAAGACCCGCAAAAACAACTTTCAGATACAGAAACGTATTCTATTAATGTGTTACGTGTTTGCCAAGTACAACTCTTGATGCATTCTTATACCATTATATTCATATGCACTTCAAATGTTATTTTTCTTAACTCTTCCACTTTATATAAATGGCATAATGCATTTTCCCAATACCATTGATACACATTATGTTCCTTCATCCTACAGATTGTTCATAAGCTGCGACTCAAAGAAGGGCAGGATATCACCGCGCTGGCATTAAATAAGGACAACACAAATCTTTTGGTGTCAACTGCAGATAGGCAATTAATAGTCTTCTCTGATCCAGCTGTAAGTAGATAACATTCCATTTTTCCATGGCTACTTAGTAATTCTATTAAAAAAGGGATTGTTTCCTATTTCTTAGTACACTTTTTAGATATTTAGTTAACTCGAAAGAATTATTCGCTCTCTTCTTTATCAAATTTAATTCGGACAACCCAGTTTATGTACAAACCGAAAAAGATATCTGCTAAATCAATTACCATTTTCAAGGAGCTGAATCTGTAGATTATTATCTTTTAATCTCATCTTGTTGTGACTCTTTGTGTTATTCTGATCAGTTGAGCTTGAAAGTTGTGGATCAAATGCTTAAGATTGGCTGGGAAGGTGAGGGGCTCAGCCCCCTTATAAAATCATAGTTTTCTGCAGCAACAAATACTTCAATACTTGTATGGTTGTTGGACAAATTCTGCATCATATATATTAGCCAGCAGTGTTCTGATACATTGATGGATATATCTGGTTGCGGTTATTCTTTTCTTTCAAGCACGGAGCGGAAGGAGATCTGAGCCGAGACCCTATGCTTGCTAGGTTTGCCTCTCAATTTCACGCTATGTTGCGCTAGCACGTCGTCATATTCATTAATAGTGAGATGTAACTCCAGTACTTACACTTGAAAATTCGGCCCATTTCTCGGTTACATGCTGTAAAATATGCAATAGACTAGCCCCAAATCAAATCATATAAATACATATTAGCTTTTAGATACTAGAATTACTGGAGGGGCCATTCTTTATGGGGTCGTGTTGTATGTATGTCACTATAAGTTGCAAGTTGTGAGGCATTGGGCACTGGGCTTGAGCTTTCCAGTTTTGTCCAGTTCTTCATTTGAGAATACACAGCAAGTAAAATATGAAGGGCTCTACCATTATTTGTATATTTTTCTCTCTTTTCTTCACTGCTCTGCAGGTTTTTGCCAGAATTGGCCCTTTTATCATCCACTAAATCATAATTTTCAAATTTTGGGGGTAAGAATGACCTTATTATCTTTGGAATTTGTAATTTCTCTGTGACATATTTTCTTAAAATTTTATTTATTGGATAAAAGGTATATTGTTGTAATAACTCTTACAGGTTAGGCAAATGATTAATGGACCGAAAGTGTATATGGGACATTGCTATTTCTCCTAAAGCAAGGTGCAATTATATTCTCAATCAATTTTGGCTTTGGAGAGAAAATAAAGTCACATTTTTTAAGTAAATCTAAATTGGGAATGTTGTTGTTATTGGAGGTAGGGATGTTCACGGGGCGGGATCCTCATCTCTACCTCCCATTAATTTTCCAATCCCGCAAAATTTTCCAAGAAATTTCACAGGGATACATTCCTTTTTTTCCTTTATTTTTAAAACTATTTCTCAATTTTTTTAATTTTCTTTTTAATTGCTTAATTTCTCAAGATAAAACATTATTCACATAGTTTAATCATTTCTCACACACATTCCCGTATGGAAAAAAAATGTATATTCATATTTAGTATATATATATAAATATATATATTTAAAAAAATGTGGCGAGACGGGAAATTTTCCAATGTCCCCTATCCCTGCCTTGCATGGAATCTAAACGAGGATTCTCCATGCCGTTTTGGATGGTCCCCAACCCCATCCCACAGAAAGACAGACTCATGAGTAGCAGGGAGGTACTCATGGAGGCAGGAATGGTACCAACTTTATAAAGAAAATAATAATAATTGAAGGTAAACAATTAGACATAAATTGCCAAGTGAAAGAACAGCAAAAAAGAATTGTCGTCTCTCAGATAAATTGGCCTTATTTTATTAAACATTTTTGAAACTATAACAATAGTAAAAGTAAATTAAAAATAGCAATTACTTGATTGTTATTATTATTCTTTAAATGCAATTACAAGCATGGGGTATTCTTTTAAGGAGAGATGTATTGATAAAATATGGTAGTGAAGTGAACTAGTATGGAGGTCTAGGAATAGCATAAACTTGAAGGCCTCCATCTATGAGAAGATTGATCATTGGTTTATACATAACAATTTTGTTATCATCACTCATTTTGAAAATAAAAAATCTCAATGATATAGATGACAGGATCTTCATCTGCCTGTATGCGAACTCTTTTCCCAAACAAATGCGTGGCCCTGCCTGTAATGTGAGTAAACCCATCAGATTCATTCAGAAGGAAAAAAAGAAAAAAAAAAGGAAAAAAGATTTTATTTATATATGTATAGAGAATATCTAGATTTAAAACTAATTTTGTTACCCTTCGAGCTCTGAAATGATCTATTTTAGTCCATGAATTTTGAATAAGAAACAATTTTAGTCGTGGTCATTAATTTGCTACTGTCATTTGAAAGGTTATAAACCAAATCAAAATATGAAAATGAAATGGGTATGAAGATTTAGACCAAACACGTGCGAGCACCATGGAAATACATCCCACCCTACCAAAGAAAGATGAGGGAGAGTTGGCCGAAATGGGTAGGCTGCATACCTGAAAGGCGGTAAATTTGAAAGGGCTCTGAGGCTGCAAAATTCCATCTCCGTTGAGCCACCTGTCAGGTCGGAATTGGTCGGCATCCTCGCCCCATATAAATTTCATCCTACCCATTGCATATGGTTGGTATGCCACCATATCTCCTTTTCTCACACTGAATCCATCCGGCAGTGTATCATCAGACAAGCAAATCTTTGCGTCCTACATATCATTCACGGTTAGGTAATCAAAAGTGATTTAATATATATATATATATATATATATATATATATATATTTTAGTACAACATATGGAGTAGGGAATCGAACTTACAATCTCTTGGTTGGACATATATGTCAATTACCACTGAAGAGTGTCGTGCTCGCTTTGACGAATGACACAAGTTAATTTTGATTAACTTTTGAGAGGGTAAAGTATGTTTTTTAGCCCATTAAAAGTACTTTGAGAAATTACTATGGTGCTTGATTACACAGTGAAAAATGATTTTGAAATTCTAAAACCATCTAGAAAGCACTATTTCTTCCCAAAGTTGGGTGCTTTACTTAAACATACTTTCTAAAAATTCATCCCCAACTCACTAGAAATACTTAGTATATCTCCCAATACAAAACAATGCTTATAGAAAAATCTTATTTACTTAAAAAGCACTTTTAGTGAGTTGAAATTATATGAGAGTTATTTGAAGGAAGCAATGAATGTGTTGAGATTTCAAGAGGAAATACCGTACCACTGGAACAGGAGGATAGAGTCTAAGAGTTTCATTTATAGCTGCAGTGAGAAACTGCATCTTCTCCAGAGCTTCTTCAGTCAAGCTTCCTGCAAACTCGGCAGAAGTCGTACTGTCTTCGACATTCGTCACGTCCTTGATCTCTCTAGCTACTCTTTCCTGCACTTCAGGATGCTTGCAAAGCATGTAAACGAACCAAGCAAGAGTAATAGCTGTCGTGTCCTTTCCAGCTATGACAAAACTAAGAATAATATCTCTTAAAAATGTTGCATCAGAGTTTTCCGCTTGCAAAAACCTCGACACGATGTTTTCTTTTCTCACCTAAATTCCCATATAAGGATAATGTTAGGCTTCATATATAACAAGATAACAGATAAATTCACTACATTATCTTTTCTCGACCAACTAACCATAACTTAGTAATTAAAGCATTTCTACTCCACGACGTATTCGTGACGTTGTATTCTCAAGAAAGATAACAGCAAAAGTACAAGTTCACTTACAGCAGTGTTGTTGCCCAACTTGTCCCTCTGTCCGAGTGCGTTGTGGATGAGCTTATATATGTACTCATCAACAATGCTCATGTTTTTTTTTAAGGTACCTTCTGACCCAATATTCAGAGCCTTCTTGATTGGCCAGAATACATCAACATATCGCCAAAGTGTCATTGAACTTGATGTGTCGAAAGCAGTGGAAAATTTCGTGATTTCTTCGTCTGATCCTTGAATGCTATCTTCTATATCAATTCCAAATGACACTTGAAGTATTGAATCTAGAGCTGATTTCATAAGTAGACCCTGCAAAGAAGTAACGGAATGAATCTATTGGTGTCTCAACCAGGAACCATGTTCGAAATCACTGTCGAGTTGGACTCTTAACCTACTTGAATATCGATGACTTTGTTCGAAATAGCAGCTTCGGACACGATACCAGCTAGTTTAACCGCAGTTTTTCTGAAGATGGCACTGCTATAATCCCTTAGAACTTTTGTAGAGAACTCGTAGCTTGAAACCTTCCTCTGCTGACGCCATTTCTCTCCATCAACTGTGAAAATCCCATCACCAAGAAGATCCTTAAGGATTTTGTGGTTATATTCCCCCTGAACATAGTGCAATTCAGTCAAATCATGGCCCTTCTACAACATATAAAATAAAAATCCATGCCAAATTCTGCTCAGGCTTTATGCAAACCAGTCACCTTTTTCTCATGTAGAAAACTAAAATACATTAATCAGTTATCATGAATCCTTAAACATATAAAACAGAAATTGTAATATAAAAATCTTATCAATCATGTATCCTCAAACTTGTCAATTATCATATCAAAATAAAAATCCACGCCACCCTGTTCCTTGAAGTTCTATTCATCAGTTATCATGAATCCTCAAACTTCTCTGATACAATTGTGCACTCAACAGGATGAAAAACACGTTTTCATTGTTTTTTGAGTTCAACGACCCCTGGGGTCGTCTTTGCTACTAGTTGAGCTATGTTTGGCAAAACCCAAATTTTATTGTAAATGCACTAGAAAACAAAATTTTAAATGATGCGAGCCAAAAAAGGCCTTCCAATTAGTCAAAAAGAGCATGCAGTCTCAATATTTGCCAATTTTATTTTCCAGCCAGGATCAAGAACTCAAGAGTCTCCAGTGATTTCAGCTATTAAAACACACAAAAAAAAAGAAGGTAAAGAGACGAATGCCATACCTTGCCAAAATTCTCGAAGTGGGTTTTGAGAATATACTCAACATTTTCTGGGTTGGAAGTATAAACCTCATCCCTGAAGGGGCCGAGAAGCCTGTATGTTTTATACTTTCCAGCAAGATCTGTCATGTAATGATGCAATCGGTGGAAATTGAGGAGCTGGTGAAACACAGTTCCTGCAATTGGATGATACTTCTTGGCCCTCAGTTTTCGAGCTATAATCTGGCTTACAGAAATGGAAATCAGCAGTAATAGAGCTGCGATTGAGATGGGGTTTGAGAGAAAGTTGAGGGAAATCATGGTGGTGAGCCAACAGATAATTCAGGGGCGGACATCTTTGTTCTTCGGCCATCGATCTAAATAAAGGAAATCGAATGACCATTTTTGAACTCAGAGATAAAATCGATTTATTCGTGAGTAGCTAGTACAAACAGTGACCCACCCAGTTATTTTTTCCCTTTTCCAATATTACATAGGAGGATTGAGAGATCTTTCAAGGCACGGGTGCACATCGAAACCGAAGAAACAGACCAAACCGACAAAACCAATTCGAGATCGAAATCGAATCGAATTTTTGATTTGGGGGTTTGGCAGTTCGATTCGGTTTGGTTGGCTGACAGTGTACACTGCCCAATGGTGGCAGTGGTTGAGTGCATGCCAGCTGTCACGATCGTACATTTTTCAACCGTGCGGCGTCATGATCTAAGCTCGACCATGGCCAGCCTTAAGAGGAACTCTAGTCCCAATCTACTTTTCGCGCCCTTTGTGGCTTCGTCAGACCTTAGGCGAGGTTCTTTCTTCCTCGACCGAGCTTCACTTGCAGCGGAATTATAACTTGTCTCGGCAATGCACGTCGCCCGTACGTGCATTTAAACTCTATCGCGATTCTAGCCGGCTTGCCTCTACACTAGGTCAAGCCCCACAGCTCTACCTTGCCTCTACTCTAGGCCAAG